TCTCTCTCTCTCTCTCTCTCTCTCTCCCTCTCTCTCTCTCTCTCTGTTGAAAAGTTCTTATAAACTGCAACTCAAAACTTGAACAACTCGAACTCTTTACAGGCAACAAGGTGGAGGTCGGGGACAAAGTGCTGGAGTTGGTAGAGGGCTCGGCTCCAAAGCCAGGCCGCCGTCATTTACCCCCGACCCCTGGGGTGCCCATCCTGCCCACACCACCGCCCAAACCACAGCGGACCGCAGCCAAAACCGTGGCTCTGTCGGTGAGTCACTGGGGGGGGGGGGGATTTATTGTTTTATTCTACTTCCTCTTCTTCTTTTAACCTCCGGCCACACTCGTGCTTCTTTTCTTCCTCTGTCGACATATCTGTTCTTTTTCTACTTTTTTTCAACCCCTCCGTTCTTTTCTTCTTTTTCTTTTTTATTTGTCAATTTGTCACCTCGTATCTCTTTCTTCTTTTCACTTCTGTCTTCTCGCTCGTTCTCTTTCTTCTTTTTTTTCTTCTGTCTACTCGTCCCCCTCTTTCTGTTGTCTTCTCTCGTCAAATTCCTTCTTTCTCTTTTAGTGTGAACTCTTCCACTTACATTCTTTTCTTCTCCTTAGGGCAATTATTGAAGGTGCCACTGGTAGGTGCTTCTTCCTCATTTCTCCCCACACTAAGTGACCGATATTTTTTCCTTGCGCTTCTCATTAGTCAACAACAAAAAGGGAAAATACTTTTCTGCCAATTCTTTGGCTCATTTTCTTCATTACCTTCTTTCTACATTGCATTTTTTCTACTCTTTGCATTAGAAGGGAAAGGGGATTCTATGTTTTACTCGTTAGGCTGTTTCCTTTGCATTCAGAGGACGTGGGTTCAATTCTAGAGGGAGAAGGATATTTTATTGCGTATCTTCGGCTTTCACGTAGATACCCCATCATACCAATGACGACTTGGCAGTTAAATTAGAAACACTCCACCTCCTAAATAATATAAATTGTGATGATAAAATAGGGGCATTAAACAGGAGTGACCGACGAATTAACAAAAACAGCATTACGACTGCTTAGTATAGTGCAGGACTCCGCCATACGTCATTTTGAAAAGTAACATTGATCTAGTGCAGTCAAAAATGCATGGCGCAACTTATTGTGAAATATATCCCTACCTATCGAACATAGATTCTCCAACTGTTGCACAATGGCTTATATCAATTTATCTAAACAGATGAATATTTTTTCAAACTCCTGTACACTGTATTCTCAAAAATTCCTTAACAAATACTAAGGAAAAATCCCAGTCGATGGTTTCTACAGATTTTTTAAAGTTTACAGCTCGGGCAATTATATCGCTTTTAAAAGCAAGTCTGTCATTTTTTTTTCTAATCGCAATAGTATGCTTATTGAACGTATGTTTAGGGAACTTTAGTGCAAAAAAAGTGTTCATTTTAAAAATATTTTTGTAAGAAGTTTTGCCACTTAAAAGTGTCATTGGCGAGCTGCGACGTAGGCCATATGCGTATGCAAAATGTGTGCGAGAGGCGGGAAGTGCTGTGAACAATCGTATTTTTTACGGGATGGAGATTAATTATAGTATTTTATATAAATTTATTAAGAAAAGTTTTTTACTCGAGCCTCAATTTTTTTTGTTGAAAAATATGATTATGCTAAGACAAAATGATACAAACGGCTGTGCAAAGTATGGGCGACATTGATTCTCCCGTTAAAGAGATATTTGAAGATAAGTTGTTGTATTACTGTAAACTCTCTGCTTACACTGAGCAGTCCATTTAACGGTGACGGGAGGAGGGGAGAGAGAAGATGGCTGGTCGACCATCTTTCCCTTTTTGTCCTTTCGGTTTTTGTCGGGCGGGGGTGAGGCAGAATAGTGGCAGTTTTGGCGCGGCTGATCCTCCTTGACCTTTGTTGGGCTTCGCTTCTATTGAGCTGGTAATATACTTCCTTGTCAGATACCGCCCTTGTCGTTCCAACTTTCTGTGCTCAACGTGCACGCAGTATGTCAGGGAATGTTTTTCGTTGTTTCCATGTAGGTGTTCTTATGCCCATATCTACACGTTTGAGATCATTTAGGAGGCGGGCTTTGATCGTGCCTGTCAAGGTCAGCTGGGACTGCTGAGAGGGATACAGCGTCCCAGCAGAAAGACGCAGAGACCGAGATACATGTACTCAATAAAAATTCTTCCCGCGCGGGAATAGAACTCCGGTCTTCTGTGTGCGACCCCGCGGACGCCGATAGTCACAGGACGGTTAGGTTAGTACTGCGCCTTGATGAAACAGTTGACCATCTGTTGTATCTGTGAGTTGAGGACAACGGAAATAAGAGAAGCTTACCGCCCTAACTTGACTCAACGATCCAATGACACTTCTCGTACTTTCATTGCCCACGACTCACCGACAAAGCTGCCCGTCGACTGTTTTGTCGTTCGTAGTGCAGCACTCTTTCGTGACCCCTGCTCCTTCACTCGGTTCGGAGTTTCATCCCGCTGTTTCACGACTCCAAATGACCAGCGAAGGACATCGAGAACGTTTTGTGCAATAAAAAGCTAGCGAAGCCGGGCAAGCGCAGCAAGTAATTAATAAATATTCCGCACAGAGTCTTGTTGACACACATAGATGTGCGTATATCGATCTCTGTGCTCTTGGCCTTTGGTCTGAAGAGTACTCTTTTAAGTAAGAAATGAATCCATGTTCATACTCTATGTGTGTGCGTGTTTCTCTCTCTCTCTCTCTCTCTCTCTCTATTACTATTACTACTGCGACTTCCACTACTACTACTACTACTACTATTACTACTACTACTACTTCTACTACTACTACTACTACAACTACTTCTACTACTGCTGCTACTACTACCTACTACTACTACCTACTACAAATAACAATAGTAATAACAGGATGCATATCCTTGTTCGAGGGCATCCTCTATGAGCTTTAGAACTGTTATCACCCCTACAGACACGAGAACACTCAGAAACATTCTCAGCTCCCCGTGAAGTATGCAGCGCAAGCA